GAAATTATAGCTAATTTGCCTACAAATGTCAGGTGGTCATAATAATCTGGCCACTCACGTTCAAGTATATTCCACGTTCAAAGGCTGTTAAGTCGCATTGTTTACCCATATCTTCAGAAAAAAATCACTTCTACTGTCGTGGTAAACAACCTGCTTCCCTATTTATAATGGTCTGGCCCTCTAGCAACTTCAGCACGAAATTATAGCTAATTTGCCTACAAACGTCAGGTGATCATAATCATCTGGCCACTCAGTGTATATGTCAGCAATAAATACCACTATGCAGTCACTGTGTTAAATTCAAAATATATGTTATTTCTAAAAACATAATATACGTTGAACCTTGAACAATGTAAAGTTTAGGTGTGCCAAACACAGTTCAGTCAAAAACTCACCTGTAACTTTTGACTCCCCCAGCACTTAACGATTAATAGCCTACTGTTTACTGGAAGCTATACTGATAACATACATTGTCATTAACACATTTTTTATATTATATATATTATATACTGCATTCTTACAATAAAATAAACTAAAGAAAATGTTAAGAAAATCATACGAGAAAGTACACTTATATTATTTATCGAAAAAAATCTGCATATAAATAGACCCACAATTCAAATCCATGTTGTTCAAGGGTCAACTGTATTTATTTTAATTCAACAACATTGTTTAGTAATTATCTATTTTGGCTTAGCATTTTTAGATTCTGCAACATTAATACTTTTTCTAAATATTCCAGAATAGGGAATTGAATTGGAAAATCAGATAAGGAAATTTTTCTACTCTGCATTAGTTTTTTTTGTTTTGTTTTTTTTTTACTGGATTTCAAACAGCATAGAAATACACACCAAAACAAGGTGATTTTATATCATAAGACATACTTTCTATAATAAATTAAGAAAAACCCATATGTATCAATTTCAAAGACATAATAGGTCTGTCTGGTTCTCTACATCTATAAGAGAAAAATTATGCTTGCTAAAACAATGTTTTAAATCAACACAATTTTCTTAGTTTCACGATATTCTGATGTAAAGCAGGTTATATTATTAAAAGAAAGAATTTAAATACCAGATTACTATTAAGTCATATAAATAGAAAATGATAAGAATTAGCTGTCAACTAAATAAAATTGTTGTTAATTTCTAAACTACATTATTTAACAGAAGTACATATATTCTACTCTGACTGGAATATCTTCATTGACAGTGCATAAATGTGAGGTCCAGCATACCGGTGTCATTGTTCTTAGTTTAGTATTTTGTTTAGATTACCTTCAAGAAGATCATCCTCGTCTATGCCTTTGACAATCTTTGATTTGTAGTCTCGGAAAAACATGTATTTTAACAGTCTTCTAAGTTTTTTCTATTAAAAATATGAAATCAGTAAATAAGAAACCTTATACATATATTCACTTTACTGAGTAATGATTATAATAACTAAATTTAATAAAGTAGTACCCTAGAATCACTGGGGGAAATACGCCAATTCTCAGCATAATATTATGTAATAAAAAGAAATGTAGTCACAAATTAAACATAAAAGTTGAAACACAAGTATTTTTAAAAGCACTTTTCATTTACAAGTATCCAGATGCTCCAGAATCACAATAATTACCTTTATATTTTGGTCTTATAAAGAGCCTTAAATTCTTTCTGAAGACTGTGAGAAATATCACACTCTCCATACTAAGCTATTTTATTTTTTTAAATGATTTATAAACAATCCAGACAACTGCTTTAAAAAGGCATGCACTCTCCTTTTATTGTTTTTTATTCTCTGATACTTTTATTTTATTTAGAAGAGCTGGTTTATATTTCTGGAAAACATTCAGTAATATGAGAAACATATTTTTATGAAACTCAAAGCTGATTAATGATAGTTGGGTCTTAATGATGGCTTTCCTTAGGTTTATTAGAAAACCATAATACTGCTTAGCTTTAAAAGTAACTTATAAATACTTTGTAATTTGTTGTGTGCTTACACTTGGAATGTATTATTACTGGTTCTTGACCGTTAAGTTTAAGATATCATATCAGCTGAAAATTATTGCATTTTACAAAGCACTTTTACATGCATTTTATTTGATATTTTCAGTAGCCCTGAGATACAGACAACTATAATCATCTCCTCTTTATACATAGGGAAACTGAGGTTAAAATTAGTCTTGCAACTAGACCTTAGCGGGGTCACACGTAAAAGATAACCTCTGAACCTTAGTTTCTTTATTTACAAAGTAAGTAAAGTACCTACATTACAGAATTATTGTGAGGAATAAATAAACTGCCTAGAGTAATACGTAAAACATAGACAGTCAATAAATACAGCTTTATATAATCTGAAATTATGAAAAGAAAAAAACAGGTCTTTTGCTATCCTCTTCTCTTTGCTGATTCCGTTCAGTACTTTAGATTGTATTTTTGTCTTATATCACTCCTATGTAAACTACTTGAAATCCTGTTTAGAAAATATCATCATATAAATAAAAGTATTATTTTGAGGAGAAAGATGATAACAATGGCAACTATAATATTATAGGTATGTTCTTAGGTGCTAAAATGATTCTGATTAAGAGTCCCACTGGACAGTAAAGGGCATTGTCAATTAGTGTATGCTCCTGAAGTTTCAATAGGATTTTAAATTTTACTTTCCCCAAAGGCAGGAAAACGTACCAATATGGACTTTGTGTGTGTATGCTAGCCTCTTCACCTCTGTCAGTGAAAAGGAAAACTTGACTAGATACATGCCGCTAACTCCCTCTTCCCAGATGCCTTCATAGGGAATCTTGGCTCCAGGCCCTCATTTCTGCCAACAGCACCTTTCGGCTCCTTCCTCCCAGGACCACTGCTATGTAAGCCCATTTTTCCTTAGTCCTCCAAGTTTAATGGTCACCAAATCCTGCCTATTTTGACTCTTCGCGATTTCTTTGAATTCTTCCTTCCTATCCAGTTCCAGAGCCATCACAATAATCAGATTTTGTCTAGATTACTCAACCAGAATCCTGGTGAGTTCTTCTGTGTTTGGTTCGTTCTAGCTATACTTGCATGAGTCTTACCCCAGGCAGAAACCTCCACTGCAAAAAAATCCTACAGCTTCTACATCTAATCATATAATCTTAAAATTCTGTGAGTCTTAAAATGCTTCTTTCAACTAAATCATACTGGTTTTCTAAACTAAAGTATATCTTCTTGAAAGTGAAGATATTTCTTTCTTTTCCTTTATATTCCTCAGACTACCGAAGAGGTAATGAGCCAAAAGTTTATCCAAAAGGTCAAATGGGAAGGCTTTTGATAAAAAATAGAGCCACAAGCATACAAAAATGGTGGCAGAGGAGTGGGTGAGTATAATAAAAGGCCAGGAAAAATCAGTGGAGAAATGAAAGATGGGACTGACATTGGGAACTAGGCATTGCTTGCTCATTTACAATAGCATCTGTCACAACACATTGTGATTATTTTTTACATGTAACTTTTACATGCAACTTATTAAAACATGTAAAATTTTATAAAATATTTTCAACTAGCTACTCATGGAAGAGAGTTATGACAAAATTAGACATGTAAATATCAGCTTAGATATTTTTATAACAGTGTTCAAAGAATAATAAAAGTAGATCTTTAAGTATAAAAAACCCTAGACATTATGGTATATATTTATCCTAATGGAATATACATCTTGATTGATTTTCTATTTCCTATAAACTAGTGTCACAGAATAAACTTTGTATTTCAAGGTAAAAAATTACTCTCTGAAAGCCTGTAATACTGTATAAAATTAGAAGAAAAGTAAATATGTTACTCACTTATCAGAACACTAAATATTTAATGACTATTATGTAGCAATGAACATGTCAAAATAGGTGTGTACAGATATGTGAGAATTAGTTGTCAACATAGTTTTACATACATGCCTTTGCCCATGTTAAAAAAAATAAATTCTCTTATAGTAAGCCATTCTGTCATGCAAACTATGAAGACTAAAATATCAATTCAATAGTTATGATACCAATTTGAAAGCTTTGTGAAAAGGGTATTTAGTTTCCTCATATAAGTATAGTTAAGCACCAAACATGGCATTTTAATTCAGTAGAACATTTTAGATTACCTTATCTTTGCGCATCAAAAACAGAAGATCTTCAGGAGATATTACCCTTGCTCCCCGGAGCTGAGAAACTTCAGCAGCTTGGTGTAACTGACAACAACAAAATTTAGGAATTTTTCTCAATATAAATGAAAGGCATGACAGTCACGATGTCTCAAGAAAGAAAAATACATTAAATTAAACATTTTAGGGAACAATTCAGCCATCACATTACTATTTTTAAAAGTAAAATGTCTTATGTTTTAAGGTATAAAAAATGCAATTAAATTAACTTATAAGCCGATCTGTAACTGATACAATAAACAGAAATCCTTGATTTCTTTCATGCAAAAGAAAAATCATGTGCAGCTTCCAGAAATGCATTAATGCACCTGAAAATAATTTTATGAAATTGTATCCTCATATCCATGTGAGCAATGGTTTCACTCAGTATCACTAGTTGAATAAGTATATTATTAATCTGAGCTCCCATGCTGGTATGATTTGAAATAGGCCCATTCAGACCTTTAAAAGATCAACAAAAACAGTAGCTGTTTCTAATATCCAAAGGAAAAAAAATAGTTTTAGTTTTGGCAAGTCTTCAGTGGGCAAAGGATTCAGTCCATAAATCATAATACGGGACTGCATTAATTTCTTTCCACACTAATCACATGCACACAAAAAGTTAACTGTATCTGGAATGCACAACACAAAACATACTGCATGAAAAGTTAGAGTCCCCCTGAAATGTTCATCTGGGCCCTTATATCTACAAAGTCGGGAGTTTTCTGGAATTCAGAAGTCCTAGAAACACAATCTTACTTGAAAATGACCTGGAAAAGAAAAGAATGTGAAAAATGATAGTCCTATTTTTTGGCACAGGCAATCACTTTCTTATTTTGATTAGTTAGAAGGAACATAAAATACATCCAGCTGAAAAAAATAAAGATGCTGCAGAAAACTCTACAAAAATGTGCCTGTAACTTCTTTCAAACTTGATTAAACCATAGTGATTGCACCAAACCAACTCTATCCAATATTACAAAAATATTTACATATAAAAGCTGTTTCTGAATGCACCGTTCTTTGAAAGGAATAAATCTAACACATATTACTGAGAACTAATCTTTATAAAGTGACACACTGTTATCTTAACAATTATAAGAAATCAAATAGAGCATTTGTACTAAAGAAATTCTGCTTGAATGTTTAAGCGATTTTGCTAGGTAAGCTTCAAACCTTGTCTAAATACACAGACTACAAAATAGACTACAAACTCCCTATGTGTCAACCTTACCACTGAACTTCCTGGATACTGGTGGTTGGTATATAAACATAATTCTACCTAAATATAGAAATTTAAATTTAACTGTGAACCATTTAAAAAGAAATCTTGGGGGAAGGTTTTTTAAAAAGATGATGTATTTATTCAGAAAGAATCTAAATGTTTTCAGCAGGAAAAATTTAAACATTTTTTCTAAAAACTGGAAGAGTACCAGGGAAATAGGTATACGCATGTGTGTGTTTTCCAAATAAAAACATTTCTATCAGAGTCTAAAATACATACAATCGGTGTGAAGAAGAATATGGACTCAATATCCATTCATCTGTACACATACAGAGAACAGGAGGCAGTGCTGTCAAGTACTACACAAATATTAGTAACTTCACTATGTTAAGAAAGGGTCAGGATAAGTATATATCCCTAAACAGCTTCCCATTAGTCAGTTATTTATCCACACTACATCTATATAATTTGTATTTATAACACTCTCAAAAACATTCATTTACAAACAGATTATGTGGGAAAAATGAGAAAATAAAGACGAAGAGTTAGACATTTAATTTTTTATTTTTTAAATATATTTGTATTGATTTCAGAGGGGGAGAGGGAGAGAGAGATAAAAATATCATTGATGAAAGTGAATCATTGACCAGCTGCCTGCTGCACGCCCCACATTGGGGATGGAACCCACAACTCGGGAATATGCCCTGACTGGGAATTGAACTGTGACCTCCTGGTTCATGGGTCAATGTTCAACCACTGAGCCACACTGCTGGGCGAGTTAAACATTTTAAAACATCTTTTCAAAACCAGTACATAACTAGTGTAGGGATCAGAAATTTATGTCTTGGTTAATTAGCAGGAAATCTTTACCTTTAGTTTTCATCCACCCCATTTGCTAATTTCTCTCACCTAAGTAGAATCCTTACTAGCACTAGTACGCTAATTCTCACTAATATGCCTTGAACTCCTGTGAAGTGAATCCTCTGGACTGAAAGCTACCATTGTGTTACTCACCGAGCCTATCTGGCCCTCATGTGACCCTTGTCTCAAATTTACCTCTCCCAAACTCTTATTTTTTACTAAGTGAAGAGAGCAATTTAATTAGCTAATTACAGTGATCACACTAAAGTGTGTATTACCCATTAGCTTACTTCTAGAAATATTTCTCTACATCTACCAGAAAGAATAAAGAAACACCTCTTCAACAACACAAGCTTAAAACATGGGTGAGCAGCTTTGGAAATACCAAAACCAGAAAACCCAAAATAAAAAAAAACCCTCTTAATATCTTCAAGTGCTTAAAACAAAAGGTTGATTCTATATTCTAAAAAAATCCCTCAAATTCTTAATCCTTGAAAATAAATAGAAGTTACACTTCCTTATTCACTGTAACAAGTCAGTCATTAAAATATGAAATAGTACATTCATACTTTTTATTATAATAAAAATATACAATTAATTATAAAATATGCAAGAAATGATAGCATACAGAAATACTTTAAGACCAATCTAAATTCAATGTGGTCTTTAAAGCATGACTGACTCACAGATTTCCCTATATGCCTTCATTCTCATCATGTTTTTTGTTTATCTCTCTTATTTTTCTACATTTAAGCTCCAGTAGTTTCAGTTTTATCTTTATGCCTTTGTGTGCTTGTGATGGTTACTTCTGTCAACCAGACATTTAGTCAAACGTTATTCTGGGTGTTATTTTTGAGGGTATTTCTGGATAAGGTTAATATTTGAATCAGTAGGATGGGTAAAGCATATTGCCCTCCCTAATGTAGCTGGGCCTCAACCAATCAGTTGAAGAACTGCATACAGTCATGCACTACTTAATGGCAGAGACATGTTCTAAAAAATGTATTGCTAGTAAATTTTGTTTTTGTGCAGATATAGAGTGCACTTACACAAACCTAGATGGTTTAGCCTAATACACACCTAGGCTATATGGTATAGCCTATTGCTCTTTGGCTACAAGTCTGTATAGCATATTACTGTACAGAACAACACAAGATTAAATCACCACGAGAGAAAATGATGCGACCAAGAGATTCAGTTAACACAAGATGTATGAGGATGCTAGCTGGTTAATATGACTTGCTGTTTTACAGCAAAACTTTTAAAAATATATATATATATATTTATTGATTTCAGAGAGGAAGGGAGAGGGAGAGACAGATGGAAACATCACTGATGAGAGAGAATCATTGCTCAGCTGTCTCCTGGATGCCCCCCTACTGGGCACCGAGCCTGCAACCCAGGCATGTGCCCTGACAGGGAATCAAACTGTGCCCTCCAGGTTCTTAGGTTGATGCTCAACCACTGAGCTACACCGGCTGGACAGCAAAGCTTCTTCTTTTTTTTTGTTTTTAAATAAGTAGAAAGAGTACACTTTAAAATAATGACAAAAAGGATAGTATAGTAAACACATAAACCAGTAACACAGTCATTCATTATCACCATCAAGTGTTTTGCACTGTATAATTGTATGCACTATGCTTCTGCACATCTGGCACCACAGGTTTATTTCCCCCAGCATCACCACAAACACATAATGTGTTATACTATGACGTTAGAATGTCACTAGGTGATAGGAATTTTTCAGCTCCACTGTAATCTTATGGGACCACTATCATTGGTGGTCTGTCATTGACCAAAATGTCATTAGAACAAAAAGGCTAAAGAAGAGAGATCTTCCTTCTGCCTGTCTTGAAGTAGGGCATGGGTATTTTCCAGCCTTCTGACTTAAAATGAAACATCTCATTGTTCTCAGACCTTTGGACTGGATCTGGCACTACACCTCGCCTCTCCTGGGTCTTCAGCTTGTCGACTACAGAACTTGGAACTTCTCAGCCTCCATAATTATATGAACTAATTCCATCTAGCTATCTAAATGTCTGTCTATCTATCATCTATCTATCTATCTATCTATCTATCTATCTATCTATCTATCTATCTATCTATCCACACACATATAACCTATTGGTTTTGTTTTTTCACCTCGCCTCTCCTGGGTCTTCAGCTTGTCGACTACAGAACTTGGAACTTCTCAGCCTCCATAATTATATGAACTAATTCCATCTAGCTATCTAAATGTCTGTCTATCTATCATCTATCTATCTATCTATCTATCTATCTATCTATCTATCTATCTATCTATCCATCCACACACATATAACCTATTGGTTTTGTTTTTCTGGAGCGTCTTAACTAATAAAGTAATTACTAAATAAATTATGAGAAATTCTTGATTCTTTCTTCTTTAAAATACAGGCTTCAAAATAATTTTCTCAAAGAAAAAACATCTATAATTATCTTCATACAAAATAGTGTTTATTACCTAACTTAGGCATGGCAATCAGTTTACAATATCTTAATTGTAGTTGTCAATACGTTTTTTATCTTCCTCAACCAGTTACCTAACATTCTCACTTCCAAACTTCCTTTTGAATAATATCTCTAGGTCCAAGACCACCATTCCCAAAAGGCAGTTTATAAATCTTAAATGTTGACATCCTATTTCCCCTCGATGATTTTCAGTTTTACCAGCTATAATAAAAATGAATTGAGCTACGTGAAGTCAATAACCCCTGCATTTGGCTGTGGCCCACATAAATTCAGCAGAAAGATTTCTCTAAAGTTTCAAAAGTTTTTAAAAGTACAACAAAATAAAAAGAGAAAGAACTCATGGACATGAATAATAGTGTGGCGGTTGTGAGGTGGGAAGAAGTGGAAGAGGGTATAGGGAGGATAAATGGTAATGGAAAGAAGTAAAATAAAGAGAAAATAAGTAAATAAAAGTACAACAAAATTAATTTGA